ATGCCCATTTTCTGGGCTAATAGGGAAGAAGGTGTCAAAAATAACCCAGGGGTAGGCACTGCCTGCCCTGGAGAGTAGGTAGCAATGCAAGCATTTTTTAAATCCCATGTGACCAGGAGGAGCAATGATATATGCAATGGAAAGAAGAGGTTTTCATTGTCAGGCAAATTACATCTCCCTCCTGGTTTCTTTTTACAAAAGAAAAAAATGGCATACAGACCCCCAGAATACAGAGCAAAATACACAGCAACCCCCCAAGGGTCTGTTATGTATATTTGGTACTCTACTCTGCTGTAAAATATCTGGAAATGTTGAAGCCATGGGAAAAAAAAACTTTTTTTCCAGAAAAAAATGGAAATGTTCAGAAAAGAAATTCAAAAAATGTTGTGTGTAGTAGTAGTTTTACAAATTGAAAGTAATTTTGTTACACTGGGAAGGTGAAATGCAGTGTATATAATGCCTGCTTACATGTACTGTATTATGTTGTTCTTACATCTTACTCTGCTGTTATCATCTTCAAATATACTATATACCATGGCCAAACAGATTTTATTTTGTAGCAAATTTGAGTGATCCAGGAAGTATGCAGCAGCTGGAATGGAATTAGTATTCCTGCACACTCCTGTATCCTATAAAAAACTGTAATATCAGCATGATAAGCAGACAGCCAGCATTTTCAGACCTACAAAATATTGTTGTTAAATGTTTCCTTCGAGACATTTTCTACTCACTCAGGTTGGACAAGAACAATAGAATTATATTAGCATGAAGATGTTAAAAAATATGTAAACCCAACATTTCATATTCCTGATATGTGCCTGCTGCACAATGTACTTGTATGAAACATTATCCTGTTCTCTTTGTATTGCTTCTTTTGTGTGGAATCCCTGTTGTTCCTGCCAGTCCCTTTGCTTTCCTATTAAAAACCCGACCACACTAGAAATGAGAGCACAACTTGGTCAGTTTTCTACCTGTTTTTTTTTTTTTAAGTCCGCAAACGTGCAACTATAATGAAAAACCCGTAAGTGTTCACAAAAAAGTGCAAAACACCACACGAAAAAGTGCACTTAGGGGTGTGCTTTGTCCTTCCCCCGAAGGGGATGGACCACTACCCTTATCCCCCGGGGAACGAAGCTCCTGACAGGGACAAGGTTCCCATTTGGTCCTCCTGGCCAAAAGGTCAGTTTTCTACCTGTGCTGGAACTCAACCTGCCCTCCTCCAATGAGTAGATTTGTCCTCCCCCTACACAGCTATTCACTGGGAAGATCAGTGTCCTCTCACCGCTTTCTGAGTTCCTTATGCAACTGTTAACAGAGGGAACGAGATCACTTATAAAAAAAGGGGAAAAAAAAAGATGCATAATGTTTTTATATCTAAAGTATACACACATGTTTTCCCTTTAGTTTCTATTTTAAACTGAATGGATTTTTTTTCAAGGTGAGGGTTCGCATATACTTTCAGCATGGTTCTTGTGCAATAATTCTAAGCAGTAAGCAGAGCCTGCATATGTAATTAGCAAATCTAGCTGTATCAGATACATATATGTTTTAGAGATAGGATATGAAAACAGGCTTTTCAACTCATTGGAATGATTATTAATATTTAGCTGTTTTTCTATATTGGTTAGATATATCTGTATTGTGAAAAATTGGGGTCAAATGGCAAAGGAATCAGACAGGGATTTCAGCTTATCAGTTCAGGCACACCTTTGCAGCAGACTTCCAGGAGAGAAATATACAGGTAAGTTCACAAAAATGTCAGGTGGTATCTAACATAAATAGGTTGATTTATTAGCGGAATTAATGATCTTCACACAATCAGTTGTGTATATATTCACTTCAATTTTTCGTTTTTTGTTGAAATGTAAAAAGTTTGAGTGCAATGAACTACCTGAAATTGTACAGAAGTAAGTGGAAAAAAGCCAAAGGTGAAAAAAAAGTTGGGTTAACAAAAACTAAATAATAATGCACATTTCAGAGTTATATAAAAAGGCCTTTTTTCAGTGAAGAAGTAATGCGTTAACAACTCACAGTTGTTCTACAGCAATGCAAGTAAATAAAACGGTAAAATGATAAATGGCACATAAGGAGTTAAACCACCTAGTAATAATATTGATATTCTAATTTAGGTAACTAGATAGATAATCTATCCAAATGCAATTTGAAGGATATATACAGTAAGTGTAAGACAGTCTCAATAAAGTTCATGTGTATGGGGTCCAGAGCACTAGGGGCAGCTTGCACAGTTGCCAACATTTCCCCAAAATTTCTAGGGACACCTTTTTTTAATGTGAGTTCAGCAAGTCATTATAGGCAAAGAAAGTCTTTGAATTATAGGCGGGGCATTCATTTAATATGGGTGTTCTACAAGATGTATACTTTTAACCTAATGGCATCTTTTACTTAATTATATATATAAACAACAGTAAAATAAAAAAAACATTAACTTGTACATTAACCTCAAGGTTTTAGAGGAACACTGCAGGCAGTGGGCAGTATTCCAGTAGAGGAGTGTGGAAGGTATGATGGGGCAGTAGGCGCAGGATAAGAGTGAAATGCAATGACAGGGAAACCCAAAACTCATGGGTTTCAGTAACATTTTGACTGCTGAAGCCAGACTGAAAAGTAGATGTGTTTATTATACAAGCATATAGCTTGAACTACATACAGGGAGAGCAAAACAATAGTGTTGGATTCAAAGTAATGCTCTAACTGCCTTGGAAAGCTAATACAATTTATATGTACTAAGATGGGTGGGAATCTAGCTATCTGACTGCTTTGAAGTTACATTCTGGTTTCTGGTGGAGATTCACACAAATATGTTACTTCCCATAGCTTCTTTAGATAGCAATCTTCCCAGCTGGAGGTGTAAATAGTATTCTAACACAAGAAATACAGCTGTTACACAATAAGACGTCTAATAACAAAATATACTGTACATCCAATATATCCACTTCATCAAAACTAAATGTTTGATATATAAAATGGCTGTTCCATTTTCCCTCACAGGTATGACAGTGGACAGTATGTGGAGAGTATGACATTGGGCAGTAAGTACAAGAGAGGAGTTTGGAGGATATGACAGTGGGCAGTATGTACAGGAGAGGAGGAGAGGAGTGTGGAGGATATGACAGTTTGCAATTTGTGGAGGATATGACAACGGGCAGTATGTACAGGAGAGGAGTTTGGAGGATAAGACAGTGGGCAGTATATACAGGAGAGGAGAGTGGAGGATATGACAGTGGGCAGTATGTACAGGAGAGGAGTGTGGAGGATATGACAGTTGGCAGTATGTACAGGAGAGGAGTGTGGAGGATATGACAGTTGGCAATATGTGGAGGATATGACAGTGGGCAGAATATACAGGAGAGGAGTTTGGAGGATAAGACAGTGGGCAGTATATACAGGAGAGGAGAGTGGAGGATATGACAGCGGGCTGTATGTGGAGGATATGACAGCAGGCAGTATATACAGGAGAGGAGTTTGGAGGATAAGACAGTGGGCAGTGTGTACAGGAGAGGAGTTTGGAGGATATGACAGTGGGCAGTATGTACAGGAGAGGAGTTTGGAGGATATGACAGTGGGCAGTATGTACAGGAGAGGAGTGTGGAGGATATGACAACGGGCAGTATGTACAGGAGAGGAGTTTGGAGGATAAGACAGTGGGCAGTATATACAGGAGAGGAGAGTGGAGGATATGACAGCGGGCTGTATGTGGAGGATATGACAGGGGCAGTATATACAGGAGAGGAGTTTGGAGAATATGACAGTGGACAGTATGTACAGGAGAGGAGTGTGGATGATATGACAGTGGGGAGTATGTACAGGAGAGGAGTGTGGAGGATATGGCAGTTGGCAATATGTGGAGGATATGACAACGGGCAGTATGTACAGGGGAGGAGTTTGGAGGATAAGACAGTGGGCAGTATATATAGAAGAGGAGAGTGGAGGATATGACAGCAAGCTGTATGTGGAGGATATGACAGGGGCAGTATATACAGGAGAGGAGTTTGGAGGATATAACAACGGGCAGTATGTGCAGGAGAGGGGTTTGGAGGATAAGACAGTGGGCAGTATATACAGGAGAGGAGAGTGGAGGATATGACAGTGGGCTGTATGTGGGGGATATGACAGCGGGCAGTATATACAGGAGAGGAGTTTGGAGGGTATGACAATGGGCAGTATGTACAGGAGAGGAGTTTGGAGGATAAGACAGTGGGCAGTATATACAGGAGAGGAGAGTGGAGGATATGACAGTGGGCTGTATGTGGGGGGGATATGACAGAGGGCAGTATATACAGGAATGGAGTTTGGAGGATATGACAGTGGGCAGTATGTACAGGAGAGGAGTGTGGAGGATAAGACAGCGGGCAGTATGTACAGGAGAGGAGTGTGGAGGATATGACAGTTGGCAATATGTGGAGGATATGACAGTGGGCAGAATGTACAGGAGAGGAGTTTGGAGGATAAGACAGTGGGCAGTATATACAGGAGAGGAGAATGGAGGATATGACAGCGGGCTGTATGTGGAGGATATGACAGCAGGCAGTATATACAGGAGAGGAGTTTGGAGGATAAGACAGTGGGCAGTATGTACAGGAGAGGAGTTTGGAGGATATGACAGTGGGCAGTATGTACAGGAGAGGAGTTTGGAGGATAAGACAGTGGGCAGTATATACAGGAGAGGAGAGTGGAGGATATGACAGCGGGCTGTATGTGGAGGATATGACAGGGGCAGTATATACAGGAGAGGAGTTTGGAGGATATGACAACGGGCAGTATGTACAGGAGAGGAGTTTGGAGGATATGACAGTGGGCAGTATGTACAGGAGAGGAGTTTGGAGGATAAGACAGTGGGCAGTATATACAGGAGAGGAGAGTGGAGGATATGACAGCGGGCTGTATGTGGAGGATATGACAGCAGGCAGTATATACAGGAGAGGAGTTTGGAGGATAAGACAGTGGGCAGTATGTACAGGAGAGGAGTTTGGAGGATATGACAGTGGGCAGTATGTACAGGAGAGGAGTTTGGAGGATAAGACAGTGGGCAGTATATACAGGAGAGGAGAGTGGAGGATATGACAGCGGGCTGTATGTGGAGGATATGACAGGGGCAGTATATACAGGAGAGGAGTTTGGAGGATATGACAACGGGCAGTATGTACAGGAGAGGAGTGTGGAGGATAAGACAGCGGGCAGTATATACAGGAGAGGAGAGTGGAGGATACGACAGCGGGCTGTATGTGGAGGATATGACAGCAGGCAGTATATACAGGAGAGGAGTTTGGAGAATATGACAGCGGACAGTATGCACAGGAGAGGAGTGTGGAGGATATGACAGTGGGGGAGTATGTACAGGAGAGGAGTGTGGAGGATATGGCAGTTGGCAATATGTGGAGGATATGACAGTGGGCAATATGTGGAGGATATGACAGTGGGCAGTATGCACAGGAGAAGAGTGTGAAGGGTATGAAAGCAAGTCATATGTGTGGGAAAGCAGTGTGGAGGAAGCTGGGCAATAAATGCAGGAACATGGAGGAATGTTTAGTTTCAGTGGCTTCTTTTCTGTGTTGCGCATGCATATTGCAGCTCATTATAATGAATGGGCTGTCCTACACATGACGCATGAAAAACACATTGCTCTTGGTTGCACCTGTATGTGTGATCCAAGCCTAACTGTGAATAATTACAAAATAACAATTCTCAATAAGAACACATTGTTATCTAAATAATCAACATTCATACAATTGTCCTCCAATCTAAACAGCTTCACTCTGTTTAAATCGGGTTGTTTTTCTGTATTTACTCACAGTGTTAGTTTATGTGCTCGGTTTACAATTTTACAATTTTCATTCTACATAGTTTGGATAACACGGGTTAAATGGCATGGCCATATATTAACTTCACAATATCTAGACATACAGAGTGCTTGGGATACTTGTATAGCTACAATGTATTCCTGCTTGAGAGAGGTTTGTAATTTGCATCTGTGGGGGAGGAAGGGGGGCTGCACATACTCACTTTATCCTCCAACCCTCCCTTTACCCTTCTCATGATCTGAAAAAAATCCTCCTCTGTTCTTTCATGATAGACAGCCAGCTTACCTCCTCAGACTCTTAGAACATCAACTAGAAGTAACTCCGCTTTTTCTGGGCTCTTTCTGCATTGGTGATGGGGGGGGGAATTGGAGTGAAGGAGGGCACAGCCGAGTATGTGGGAGACAGCTTGGGGAGACAGAAAGGAGATTCAGAGCTTCTAAATACATACACCAGCCAGCAGTGTCTATATTAGAAGTAATGGCAATGCAGCTGCCCTCAAGCAAAACCCAGTTTCCAGGACAAAGCCCGGGACAGAGCTCTAGCGGGACACCATACTAGAAATCGTGACTGTCCCAGGCAATCTATGACAGTTGCCAACTATGAGCTTGCCATAGAGATAGAAGCAGTCTCTGTAATGGTAACAAGGTAGAAAGAGGGTGACAACTAAGTATAGCATTAAAAAACATCCATTTACTGAAAAAACAATTAGCAATTCACTAGACACAGACGAAGGCTTGCATGTCACATGAAAAAAATCATGGATCCCTGAAGAATGTGTCTCTCACTGTGACCAGGGATGGACTGACAACTCATGGGGCCCCTGGGCAATAGGGGATCATGGGGCCCCTGTGTCCTTGCCCAAACTCAAAAAAGCCTATGAAAAAGGTACCAGGGGCATCTCATGGGGCCCCCTACTGACCTCGGGCCCTCGGGCAGTGCCCGAGTTTTCAAATGGTCAGTCCACCCCTGGCTGTGACCATGGCTGCAGCTGCTGGCTCTGTATAGATTGTGATGGCTTGCAGATAAGGTACCATCTGCAACCACCCTGGAACGCACTGGAGGTGCAGGAGTGCATGTGACATCAGCTGGGGATGGTCCTAATGGAGAAGGGGTGTGACCATGTGTTTTGTAGTTTCCTTCTCCTTTCTCAGGCCATGCTAAACATGCAAGGATAGCTGCTATTTATATTGGAGGGAGGACTACAAAGCTCAGCAGGACCAGCTCTCAAATGAAACACTAATACAATGGGATAAAAAACAATACATTCTAATAGAAATATTATGGGAGTTAACAATTCTTAAAATGTTATGTACTTATATCTTTTTCATATATAGCCATCCAATTAACCCTTAAATTACAGTAATGGTCCACCCTAAAAAAAATACATACAGGAAATGTCATATCTATAATAAAGGTTCAGTGTTGCACACTGCCAGAATACAATAAAATATAGTATAATAAACTGAAATGTAAATAAACTGAAAAGTAAATTGTCTAGTGAATTACTAACTATCTTTTTCAATAAATAGATGTCTTTAACCATTTGCCCTCCAGAGGATTTACCCCCCTTCCTGATCAGGCCATTTTTTGCTATACGGGGCTGCATTATTTTAACTGACAATTGTGCGGTCTTGCAACGTTGCACCCAAATGAAATGTATGTTCTTTTTTTCCCATAAATGGAGATTTCTTTTGGTGGTATTTGATCACCTGTGCATTTTTTATTTTTTGGGCTATAAACAAAAAAGACTGACAATTTTGAGAAAAAAAACAATATTTTTGACTTTTTGCTATTAAACATGTCCAGTAAAAAATTGTAAAAATCAAATTTCATCAAGTCCAAAGTCCAAAATGTATTCTGCTACATGTCTTTGCTAAAAAAAAAAAAACAATACTTGTAAATTAATTGGTTTACGTGAAAGTTATAGCTTCTACAAATGGTGGTATATATACTGGAATTTTTTTATTTTTTTTGTACTAGTAATGGCGGAGATCAGCGACTTATAGCGGGACTGTGGCAGGCATTCTGAGACTGGGGGAAACTGACTTGGTGTCACTGACATCCCCATTGACACCAATACAGTGATCTGTGCTAATAAAAAATACCGACACTGTACTAATGACACTGGGCAGGAAGGGGTTAACATCTGGGGCATCAAAGGGTGTGTGTTTTTACTGTGTGCTGTGCTTTACTATGTAAGCACGCTGCTTTGTATGGCTCTGCTATGCAGAGCTATACAAAGCAGCATGCCTCTAGCTTACAGGGGAGAAATCTATATTGTTTACATACAGACCTCTCCCCCATCAGTGATACTTGGTAATCACCAGGTGCCGGTGGGGAATCACCGGTCGGGACCCAGTGATCAATACCTGAAGTCACCAACGGCGAAGTGGGTAGGGTGCCTGCACGGCAAGCGTTCACCCCCTAACTGGAAATACAAAATCACGTATATATAGTACATACAGTATATATAGTAATTCTGCTATAGGGTGGTTGGGAAGCGTTAATGCTAAACTTAGTTGGCGCCCCTCTCTACCTTTTTACCATGCAAGTAAATAAAGCCTATAAAGTTTATGCTAACAATTCCTACAGGTGTCCCAACTTTTGTTGATCACTTTCAAGCTCTTTGTCTGTATAAAAGCAGTGTTGCAACAGACTGTTACTACATCCTCTTTTACTACATCCAATATTTGTAATGCAGAAAGTAGTATATTGCTCTCAAAATTGCAAAGCCAAGGAAGCCAAGGTGTCAGTGAGTACAGTTTCTTACACCACCAAAAGGAACTTGGAACCTGGAGGTCTGGCCAACCTAAAGCCAAAACAGAATCAGAAGACAAGAGTCAACAGCTAGCACTTTGAGCTGCAGGTTTGACAGGTCGAATGGCTGTAAGAAAGCTATTACTTACATATGTCAAAAAAAGAAAAGTGGCTTGCCTAAACCATGAACACCACCAGTGGATTACTTAAGACTGGAAGAAGGTCTTGTAGACCAATAAATCAAAATGTGATTTAGGTCATCACGCAGGGTTTTTGTATGCCATTGAGTTTGAAATTAAAGGATGGTTCCTCAGTGTGACATCAACTGTTGAACATAGAGAAGGAAGCATGTTGGTTAGGGGCTCTTTGCTGGACCAAGATACGATGACTTGCACCGAGTGAGTGGCACCCCGAACCAAAACTACTAATACAGTATTTTGCAGCGCCATGCAATACACTCTGGAATATGTCTAGTTGGTCAGGCGTTCATCCTACTGCAAGACAATAACCCAAAATATACAGTCATGGCCGAAATTGTTGGCACCCTTGATATTTTTCCTGAAAATCAAGTATTTCACACAAAAAAGGTATTGCATTAACACATGTTTTGCTATACACATGTTTATTCCCTTTGTATGTATTGGAACAAATATAAAACAGAGGCAGAAAAGCAAATATGACATAATGTCACACAAAACCCCAAAAATGGGCTGGACAAAAGTATTGGCACCCTTAACTTAATATTTGGTTGCACACCCTTTGGAAAACATAACTGAAATCAGTCGCTTCCTATAACCATCAATAAGCTTCTGACACCTCTCACCCGGAATTTTGGACCACTCTTCCTTTGCAAACAGCTCCAGGTCTCTCTTATTGGAAGGACACCTTTTCCCAACAGCAATTTTAAGATCTCTCCACAGGTGTTCAATGGGATTTAGATCTGGGCTCATTGCTGGCCACTTCAGAACTCTCCAGCGCTTCTTTGCCATCCATTTCTGAGTGCTTTTTGACGTATGTTTGGGGTCATTGTCCTGCTGGAAGACCCAGGATCTTGGACGCAAACCCAGCTTTCTGACACTGGGCCCTACAGTGCGACCCAAAATCCTTTGGTAATCCTCAGATTTCATGATGCCTTGCACACAGTCAAGGCACCCAGTGCCAGAGGCAGCAAAACAACCCCAAAACATCATTGAACCTCCACCATATTTTACCGTAGGTACTGTGTTTTGTTCTTTGTAGGCCTCATTCCGTTTTCGGTAAACAGTAGAATGATGTGCTTTACCGAAAAGCTCTATCTTGGTCTCATCTGTCCACAAGACGTTTTCCCAGAAGGCTTTTGGCTTACTCAAGTACATTTTGGCAAACTGTAGTCTTGCTTTTTTATGTCTCTGTGTCAGCAGTGGGGTCCTCCTGGGTCTCCTGCCATAGCGTTTCATTTCATTTAAATGTCGACGGATAGTTCGCGCTGACACTGATGCTCCCTGAGCCTGCAGGACAGCTTGAATGTCTTTGGAACATGTTTGGGGCTGCTTATCCACCATCCGGACTATTCTGCGTTGCAATCTTTCATCAATTTTCCTCATCCGTCCACGACCAGGGAGATTAGCTACAGTGCCATGGGTTGCAAACTTCTTGATAATGTTGCGCACTGTGGACAAAGGCAAATCTAGCTCTCTGGAGATGGACTTGTAACCTTGAGATTGTTGATATTTTGCCACAATTTTGGTTCTCAGGTCCTCAGACAGTTCTCGTCTCCTCTTTCTGTTGTCCATGCTTAGTGTGGCACAGACAGACACACAATGCAAAGGTTAAGTGAACGTCTCTCCTTTTTATCTGCTTTCAGGTGTGATTTCTATATTGCCCACACCTGTTACTTGCCCCAGGTGAGTTTACAGGAGCATCACATGCTTGTAACATTCTTATTTAT